GTAGTTGCAATGGAAATTTAAATTTTTCCTTAAAAATTAGTATGCATGTGTTTTCTTTCCATCTTGCCCTTAACTCTTCCTGTTAGGTGCTGGGCTTGACCAGCTGGCCTTGCTCTTTTCCTTACCTTTCACCTAGTTGGACACTATCTCCCCTTCACTGTTAACTGTCTCGTTGTTCCATTTATGCCTAGGTTCCAGATTTCTATTTGATGTACTGGAAATGGTGATACGAGTTCTATCTACTTGGCTTGTGTAGTGGCTGTGATTTTCAGCCAACTCCAGTTCTTTCATGAACCAGCATGTGGATTGTTTTGCTCAGTTGTTGGTCTCTTCAGGAGCACACTTGTTCTGTTTGTGAGTTGGCTTCTTGTATGGAGATACTCATGTAGTAATCATGTGGCAATTCTGTGGAAGAAAGGATATTTGGGAATAAAATAAGGTTTAGTTTACTACTCATCACAGAAATGTACTTTGAGGCAACTTTATCAAGGTAAACTGTCCAGTACTGATGGCCAAGACCATATTCCAAATGAAACCACTGGAGAACAGAGGGAAAGATTGTCAGTCATGAAGGTGTCATCTTTTACAGTAAGGCTTAGATGCGGCTATTAATAAGACAGAGCTTTCCTCAGAGTAATGGAAATCTGGTTGTGTTGCCTGGAAGTGTTGCACGAAGTTATATTTGAAAAGAACTGTTTTTAAAATGAATTAGAATAAGACATAAATTCATTGTTATTCGGATAGTTTTGTCTCAATGTGGGGATCTTGGGGAGTTTGTCTGTTTCTTTAATTATCTAATGTGTAAATGAAATGTTCTGAAAGCACACTAATTTCTTAAGTATTAATTTGAAACTCCTTTCAGGAGTTTCACAACCATCTTTCTTTTTCTCTCACCCATCTTTAGGGCATACTCAAGTATTGTAGCATTTTTTTTTTTTATAGTATTTGACCTCAGTGACTTCTGATGGAAAGGGTTTTTTAATTACATTTGTGTGTGTGTGTGTGTGTGTGTGTGTGTGTGTGTGCATGTGAGAGTGCCCATGTGCCACAGTGAGCATTTGGAAGTCAAAGGACCACTTGGGGAGACTGTTCCCTCTTTCAGCTATGTGGGTTCCAGAGATCAAACTCGGGTTGTCAGGTGTGGCAGCAAGAACCTTTACCTGCAGAGCCATCTTGCCTGTTGGATGTAAAACATTTTATTATTTTATTTTTTTGGGGTGGGGTGGGTTTTATTTATTTATTTTATTAAAAATAGAAGTAGCTATATTTTTTAATTTTTAATTGAAATTTTCAATTTTCATATAATATAATTTGATGATATTTATATGCCCTCTCCATCCCCACCTCATGTTATTGCCCCAGCCCAATTTAATGTGTGTGTGTGTGTGTGTGTGTGTGTGTGTGTGTGTGTGTATGGCTTTGGAAATCTAATTTGTGTCCCCAGTGTCTTTCAGTGTGGGTCCAGCCACTGGATCCTGGTCAACCTACTAAGAACCCCATGCTTGAAAGAGACTATTTCTCCCCCTCTCAGAAACCAGTTTCCTTAGGTGGGTTTGGAGCTTCTTACCTACTTCCTCTTGTCTATGCTGGGATTTGTACATGCTGTCACCATTGCTGTGAGTTCATAGGAGTAACTCACCAGCTGTCTGGGAAACTCTGTTTCCTTGTGGGCGTCCACCACCTCTGACTCTGACAGCCTTTTTTCCCCTTCTTCTTCTTCAATGATCCTTGAGCCTTGGGGGCAGAAGTTTGATAAAGGTGTCCTATTCAGGGATAAGCAATCTACAGCCACTTGTTCTCTGCACATTGGCCAGTTGTGGGTTTCTTTGTTAATTACCATCTGTTGCATAAGGGAACTTCTTGGGTGAGAGTTGAGAGATGCATTAATTCTTCCAAGATGAAGTACTTGCCAATCTGAGAGAGGATAGGATCCCTGTGACCCAGGGAAGTCTCACAGCTAAGATGGAGGGGTGCTAGGGAGTCTCAAAGAAGGAGCTCCAAGCCACAAGTCTTGGAAAAGATTGTAAAAATACAATGAAAACATTATTCCAGCCTTGTAGTATATGGAATGAAAATACAATGGAATTTATTTTTTACCTTATATGATAATTGTGAATTGAGCAAACATTTGTTCAGATACTTTCTTGAAAGAGATTGTTGAAACCAAGAAGATCTGATTTTGAGTATGAAATACAAAATTTAGGCTTTACCTCAAAATATTTTATTGGCAAAGTAAATATGTGGTTTCCATTGTTTGTTTGCCTTTTAGGCGGCAGGAGCAATTCGACCTCTGGTGTCTACTGTCATCAGTCCCTCTGCTGATGGCTGCTTAGACCACTCACTGGAACGTGACAAGCATAGAGCAAGCGAGATGCCACAGGCTTTTCTATTTGATGTGATCTACGAAGCCTATCAGCAGGTAAGAATCCGGGTTTTCAAAAACTGCTGTTCCATTGTGGTTGCCTAAACCATTTCCATGTTTGAGTTTCTAGAAAAACCTGTGAGACTCAGCATGTTGCTGTGCTTTAGGTCAGCTACAGTGAAGTAGTCATAGTAGTTTTGGCTTGGAACAGAGGCAGGGTGTGGGAGAATCCATTTGGAAGATGCCTAAGCTCTCTCAGTCCCCTGAGGGATCATGGGAAGTACTTCCTGGAGCAATGAAACTGCAGCAATGTGTGCAGTGTTTGGAAGCCCACTAACAGCTCAGAGCTGAAGGGGTCTGTTGGGGATGGTCACATCAATGTCCTCTGGCTAGTATGTATAGAAATTCCTCATTTTCAGAAGGAAAGTAGATGTTTAGTCTGAACAATGCTGTTTGGGCAATGTAGGCACAGCAAACCTCCCACCCTGGTTCACTCCCGAACACTGGCCCAGGTCTGTCTTATAAAACTTCTTGATGGGGGCTGGAGAGATGGCTCAGCGGTTAAGAACACTGGTTGTTCTTGCAGAAGACCTGGGTTCAAATCCTAGCACCCACATGGCAGCTAACAACTAACTGTATGTAACTTCAGTCCGAGGGGATCCGACAGCCTCTTCTGACCTCCGTGGGCATTGCACAATGGGGTGTAATTACCTACATGCAGGCAATACACACATACACATAAAATAAAAATAATAAATAAAATTTAAAAAAAAGTTTAAAACAAAACAAAACAAAAACTTCTTGATGACTGTAGTTTTGGGCCTGATGTTTTCTGCATAGATGCTTAGACATCCTAATTAAATATTTAAAGGTAAGTAACTGCAAAATACCCCCCCCCACTGATATTGGAGTATCTGTATCTTTTCTTTAGTTTGGAAACATTTTATACTTACATACTTTTATTGCCATTTATTTGCATATTTGAAAAAGCCATTATTGGATGTCCTGTGATGAACTTACCGGAAACTTCTCAGTGCCCTAAGATGGAGCTTATAACTCAGTGCTTGGGTGGGATTACATAATCAGTAAACAGGTTGAGATAGATGAGCCATTAGGATTAGGAAATAATGAGGGTAAAGACATTTATATTAGAAGACGATTAGATATAGTTAGGTTAGAAAGTAGCAGTAGTTGTCACATAATACATTAAATTATCAATACTCCTGATGCTAGTAAGTTCTAAAATGGGATCAGTTATGTAGAAATTCATTTTATTAAGAAATTCAGTCATAGTTTCTTTTCTTAAAATAATTTGGAATACGGAAATTTACTTGTAGAACTTTGATTACACATGTTATACCATTATGAATTTCCCCAGATTTGAGTCCACATATCCTATTTTATAGATTTGGGGTTGCTTAACTACATATACTGCCTTCTACCATATTTCTGAGATTAGTGAAATAATTTATTCACTTTCATCTAATCCTTTGTATATTCTTATGGTCTGACTATGAAGTATCCTTCACAGTGCTTGGCTCCATCTAGAATGTATTTGGGAGGTGGTAGAAGCTTTAGGAGGAAGGGGTAGCTGGAGGAACTGGGCCACTGGTGGCATGCCCTTGACCCTAAATCTTGCCTTGCTATCTTTTGTTTAGGTCTTTAGCGATAGGACCTCATAGCTCAATCTAGTATCACACTTGCTGTGTAGTTGAGGCTAGCCTTGAACTCCTGATCCTCCTGTCTCCATCTCCCCAGTAATGGGGTTGTGGGCATGTGCCATATGCCTGCTTGCTTTGCCCTGGTCTTTATCTGTGTCTCCTTTTCTGCTTGCTGACCACCAGGATGTGAGTGTCTCAGTTCTCTGATGATGGACCGAAACCTTAGAAATCATAAACATGATAATCCTTCCTCCCCTAAGTTGTTTTTGTCAGGTGTTTTGTCACAGCAATGAAAGGTCTAACTCATATTCCATATTTATGACAACTGGGACAATTTAGATAGTGTAGTATGAAGCTCTCATATTCTGAATGGATTTGAAGGTAAAACTGGTAAAGTTCTCCCAGTAGATTGTACATCATATGTTAAAGATAGAGAAATGTCATAGGCCCAAAGATTTTCTTTGAGAAGCTAAAAGAGAGGTAGCTTTTTTGAGATGGAATAGAGGGTTTGTGGGGAGCAGAGTTGGAATTTAGGTTTGACACACATGAGTATGAGATTCCTTGTAGTTATATAATTGTGCTAAGGAGGTATAACAAGAGCTAAAAGACCAATTTTGCTGAAAACATCGATTCTTCACTTGATCCATGAGATGCCTGATTGGTAGGTAACTCACAGCAGGACAAGTTTGAATTTCATCCTTCATTTTGCATCTGCCTCTTTTATTGCTTTAAAACTTGGGATCAGGCCAGGTGTGGTGGTGCACCCCTTTTATCCCAGCACTCGGGAGGCAAAGGCAGTCAGATCTCTGTGAGTTCAAGGCCAGCCTGGTCTATCTGGTGAGTTCCAAACCAGCTGGAACTACAGGGAGATCCTGTCTCAAAAAAACAGCAAAAAAACCCAAACCAAACCAAAACAAAAAACCCCCCAAAAAGTTGGGATCAGTTTCCTACGCTACTTTGCATGTAGGCACATTAGTCATTTGAGAGTGTTCATGTAAATCTTCCCCTTTCAAGGCTAAAGGTACAAAGATGATCTACTTCATCTTCCTGATATATGTGCATATATACATATATTTATTTGTATATACATATGTATTTAAAAATTCCTTTCTTTCACATTACTTTTCTATTTGATTTTTGGGACAAGTGGTAAAACTTGTTGGAACTTCCCAGAGTGGGTCGCCTCTGGCCTAAAATTCCAGAAACAGAAGAATTTACCTAATTCTAGACAGTAGAGAGGTTTGGCTAGAGATAGAAGCTTGACATTTTGTCCTGGTTAGCTTTTACTGTCAACTTCATGCAACCTGGAGTCACCTAGGAAGAGGGAACTGCAACTGAGGAATTATCTAGGTTAGACTGGCCTGTGCACATGTCGATGGGGACATTCTCTTATTGCTAATTGATGGAAATGATTCATTAGAAGACAGTGTTGGCAGGAGGATTTGGGGACCCACACTAGTAGTGTTAAAACTGATCTTGGTTGGGAATATGGATAATGTCTCCATAGGGCAGGAGGGTAGGCAGAGTATGTGGACGCAGATGAACACCGACTACTGGACGTGAAGGGAGGATTTGAAATTTACCCTCTGGTTTCTGTTTTCTGTTACAGAGCAGGTCTTCTGTGTGAATAGGGATTGTAAGAGGTGTGTCAAGGCTTTAGGAAAGAGAAGAAATCTGAAATGGTACAATGCCTTTTGTTTCTTTTCTCTCTTCTTTTTCTGCTGGGGATTGAACCTAGGGCCTTGTACATGTTAGATAAGAACTGTCAATTTAAAAACATGTATAAAATGTTTCTGATGATAAAAATACCAGGTTTGTTTTGGAGGTTATTCATGACAAACTGCAAGAAAATTTTTCGATTAAAAAAAAGTATAAAATGAGGCTAGAGAGATGGCTCAGTGGTTAAGAGCACTGACTGCTCTTGCAGAGGACCCGGGTTTGATTCCCAGCACCCACATGGTGGCTGTGAACCATCCTTAACTCTAGTTCCAGGGGAATCCGAAGCCCTCTTCTGACCTCCACGGCATTGCACGACACAGGTGCACTCACATACATGTAGGCAATACACTCTTGAGATAAGGACTTTGCTTTTTATCAAAGTATAACTTTCCTTTGTGGATCTCATGCAGAAAATGTGTACTATTGTTCACCATTTTATGACAGTTGAGTAGAAATTGTGCAACTGTAGCTAAAGTCATATGAAGTTGAGTAGGTAGCATGCCCTTGGATGTTGCAGATGACTTGTTCATTCAGTGATGTTGGAAAGGTACAGAGGTCACAATTCTGCCCGGTGAGCAGACTTGGGTTCTTAGGTCCCTCACTGCTTCTTGTTCACCTTACCTGTGTTTACTTCCAAACAACTTTTCTTCTGTCTCGAATTTTCTTTCTTTTTTTTTAAAAAAATTATCTTATTTGTGTACAAGTGTATTGCCTGCATGTATGTAAGTGCACCTATGTTGTGCAATGCCCATGGAGGTCAGAAGGGGGCATTGTATTCTCCTGGAATTGGAGTTACCAACGGTTGTTAGCTACCATGTGAGTGCTGGGAATTGAACCTGGGTTCTCTGCAAGAGCAACCAGTGATCTTAATCACTGAGCCATCTCTCCAGTTCTGAAATTTTCTTTTTTATTTTATGTTATCCTTTAGGTACCAAATGATTACTTAGGGAGGCTTTTCCTGTTTTAGGCAGACAGGTTAGGTGAGGCTATTACATGTTATTAATTTCAATATCCAGACATAGCCAAAATTTTTGAAAACTAAGAGTATTGTGTTTAAGGGAATTTACTCTTTCAAAGTTAAGCAGACAAAGTCTTTTAAAAAGAAATATCTTCTCAATCTCTATTACAGACTAACATTTGAATGACTTGGGGGATTCAATTGGGAAATGTCTGACTCCTAATAGACTGTGAGCCCTGTGAAGGCAGGGATGTTACCTGTCATGTTCTTAGCAGCCTGTCTAGTATTTTATTAATGCCACATATGTATTTGTTCTAAGGAATGGTTGTGAAAGGGAGTGTGAGCATATAAATACAGGACAGAAGGCCATGTACTTGCTCTTCACACTGCCCGCGGCACAGATTCTTTAACTGCCTGTTCTCCCTTTTTCTCTATGTGAATGCCACCCCTCAAAAGCATTCCATGGTAATCCACATGGAGTGGCCTTTGTCCTGTATCTCCTGAAAGAATTTAAGTTCCATGGGGGTAAGTACTTTGTCTTACTCATCTTATCTCTAGCAGCTGTTCAGCACTCAAAAATGGTTCTTAAGTATTGTTGAATTAAATTTCATACATAAATAGATGTGTATGTAGATACACTACTGCCAGTTGTACGAATAGCTTTATGTGGGGGCAATATGTCTATGTACGTGTGTGTGTGTGTGTGTGTGTGTGTGTGT